GAAACGGGAGGTCTCTACTAAGAAGTGTTCTTGATTCTTACACCATTTGGCCTCTGTGGTACTCTATTGCATGTGTGATCTGAGTAACCTATTCTATCTGTGAAAAACTGGTGTTTTGCGTTTGATCATTTCGTATATCTTACTTTCTTAGCAACTGCAACCGATCCCCATAACAGTAGCCTCTCCGTTTTGGACACTTAAATGATTTCTGTGAACAAAAACAATGAATGTGCCCTTGAATCCATCACGGTGAGCTTCAAGTCGCTGCCCTGATGGCTGTCAACTGACGGGATAACTCCTCTGTTCCATCGGAACTGACAGTCGGGCTTCAATTGCTCCTTCTTACAGTGAACACTATGACACTTCCACTCGGCTGGGATCGGGGATACCTTCCTTTTTTGTTGTGTAATATCTTGGACCATTGTGCGTGAGGTATGTGTAAGTTGCATATGTCAGCAGGCTATGTATATTTCCCATCAACTATGCTCGATCATACATCCGATTGTCTTGCCACTGCCCTGACACCAGGCGCAAGTGGGTGAAGAAGACGATTGCGGGCCACACTAAGCAAGCCCCAAGTCAGCATAAAATTATTCATGAATTAGTCGCCGTCCGAGTGCTGTGAGGCACACGGTGGACATCGTTTTTAACAAGAGTCGAACTCTCATGTCATTTATGATTTAGAAGTATCTGATGTTTAATTTTGCGCTTACAGCGCTGTTATGAACCATGCATATTAACTTTTATAAACTGCGATAGGTATGACGTCCTTTAACTTGAATTTGTTAAAAAGTCAACCTGCAAAGTGTTCTTTATAATTTACAGATATATTATCGCTATATGTTGTAAGCAATTTATACTTTTATACATTCAGAATGCTGAAATTTTTTCTTCTGAAGAGCATCACTTACTGGAAAATACTAGTAACAATACAACATTTGAGGTTTTTTTTCCCTGCTAAGTCGATCTCCTACTGCCTATTACTTAACCTTGCCTCTAAACTGGCAATAAAAATTATTACAATAAATACAAGTTCAATCATCGTGACCCTCTCCTGCATTCGTTCCGGCTGTTCATAGTTCCACTTAATTCACAGAGGCTAGACGTGTGCAGTATACTTCGTGTGAATACTTTATACGGAATACCTTGTTTCAATAAAACGATTTGGTGCCCTCGAGCTCTTTAGAAAACAGGAAAATGTCGAAAATAATTTAAATCTTTCCGCTAGCATGTGTCTTTGCTTTTTTCCCATTCAAAAACTT